CCATTTGTAATTCCATCAATGATTTGTTTATAAAAAAAAGTCGTTTGTTTTGCTAATCTTCTTATACTTTCAATTAAAGATGTTTTAGAAAAAGCATCTATGTAACCACGATTATATGACCAATTATATACAAAATTTATTAGTTTTTCCCAACGAATTCTTTTAGAATTCCATTTTTGAAATGAATTAAGTAAGGTTAAATTTAATAAAGATGAATAAAAAGGCTTATATAAACAGTATGCTATAAATATTCCAAAAAAAGCTATACTCACTGAAAAAGTTGCATTTCTCAAAAATTCATACCAATCTACAAAATTTTGTGAATTTTTACAAAAGGTTTATTGACGGCGTGAATAATTTTGATAATATATCAAAGTCTATTCCTTCTTGATTGAAAGGAATTCCTATGGCTCCAATAAACAAAGTAAATAAAACCAAAATAAGCATAGGAAATAGAATAGTATTGTCTGATTCATGGGGATAATAGAAAGTTCTTGTATTAAGTCCAAAATTTTCAACAATAATAAAAATTTGATTTCTTACATTATTACTAATTTTATATGTTTTATTGCAAAAAAAAGAAGCTCTTTTTGTATTATTCATTGTTAATAATGGTACTAACCCAAAATTTTTATTAAGTTTTTTTTCTTCTTCTTTACCCCATAAAGAGAGTGAATAGAAGGAGCTACTTTTTTTTTCCACTGTAATTTAGAAAATAAGTGTTTAAATGTCCTTCAAAAGTAAGTAAATAAATCCGAAACATATAAAATGCGGTTAATCCCGCTGTTGAACAAGCTATTATTGCAAAAATTGGCGAAAACAACAAACTATCATTAAGAATTTCATCTTTCGACCAAAAACAAGCAAGGGGGGGAATACCACAAAGAGAGAGTGTTCCTATTAAAAAGGCCATTTTTGTAATCGGGACATGTTTTGTCAAACCACCCATAAGAATCATATTCTGACTTTTATCGGGAGAATATCCAACTATAGCTTCCATTGAATGAATAATGGATCCAGATCCTAAAAACAACAAAGCTTTCGAATAAGCATGAGTAATCAAATGAAATAAAGCAGATCGATAAGACCCCATACCTAGAGCTAATATCATATAACCCAGTTGAGACATTGTAGAATAGGCTAAACCTCGCTTAATGTCTTTTTGAGCAAGAGCTAAAGTGGCTCCTAAGAGTACTGTTATTATACCTATCAAAGATATTATATACATTATAGAAGGGATAACTATAAAAAGAGGAAGAAGACGAGCTACAAGAAAAATCCCCGCCGCTACCATAGTAGCAGCATGTATAAGAGCCGAAATGGGAGTAGGGCCCTCCATGGCATCAGGTAACCATACATGAAGAGGAAATTGTGCGGATTTAGCAATAGGACCTACAAATAATAGAAATGCACACAAAGTAAGGAATAAGAGATTTACTCTATTATTTAAATTAAATTATTGAATATTTCGAACAAATCCTGAAATTCAAAACTGCCTGTTATCCAATAAAGACCTAAAATTCCTAATAATAAACCAAAATCCCCTACACGATTAGTTACAAAAGCTTTTTGACAAGCATTCGCTGCAATAGGTCGTGTGAACCAAAAACCTATTAATAAATATGAACACATTCCAACTAATTCCCAAAAAAAATAAACTTGGATCAAATTAGAACTAGTAACTAATCCTAACATTGAAGTATTAAAAAAACCCATATAAGCAAAAAATCTCAGATATCCTTGATCATGCGACATATAATTGTCACTATAAATCAGAACCAAAATCCCAACAGTTGTTATTAATATTGACATAATAGAAGTAAGTGGATCGATAAAGTAACCGAACTCAAAAGAAAATTCATTATTTATGGTCCAAGACCATACATTTTGATGAATGCAACTTAGAAAAATTTGTTGAATAGATAGATAGAGTGAAAAGATCATAACTATACTTAACAAAAAAATACTAAGAAAAGTCCACATGCGTCGAAGGTTTTTTGTTGCTGTCGGAAAAAGGAGAAGTCCAACTCCTAGTAAAATAGGTACTGGAAGTGGAATGAAAGGGATGATCCATGAATATTGATATGTATGTTCCATAAAATAAAAAATCCTTTTTATTTTATTCTTAATTTTATTATTTCTTATTCACTGGTTTGTATATATATATATATTTTTTTTTTTTTCAAAGGGGACAATAAAAAAGCACGTGATTTCAAACCTAAATACAAATGTTTTCGAATTAGTATAATCCTTCATAAATCTTTGAAAAGAAATATATATTCAAATAAAAAAATTAGAAATGATTAAAAAATCTTACTAAGTTACTGTCAAAAAAATTTATTTGTCTTTTTTTATTACTACTAAATAAAAATTTATTGTGATTTTATGCAGATACAGAAAAAGTGAATTATAATTCCGTATTACAATAATTTATATACATATATTAAGAATAGAACAAAGATTTACACGACAAAAAAAATACTTAATATTACTTAATATTAATTATATAAAAAAAGCTTTACCTAAAACAAAGTTATTTGAGTTTGATTATTTAGGATTGTTAAGGAATGGATTTTCATCATGGAATTTAGTGATTGTCTTCCAGTACACTAAGTGAGCTTTTTTAATTTATATTTGTAAATATAAGTTCGGTAAAGCTCTGAATTTACTCAAAATGTCAAAGGCTTAATGACAGGGTTGTGTAAAGAAATCAGAAGCAGGTGAATGAATATTAGATCTAATCGTTTGCAGTGGCGGAGCTAGAATTTAAATTTACCGGGGTCAAAATATAAAAAATTATTTTAATAAAATAGATGTGGTTGTTTTTTTTCTTCAAATTATATTGCATATAGCTTATGTTTTTTTTATTACATTTACAAAAATAATATTCGGATATTTCTAAAAAAATTTGGTTTGTCTAAAACATGATAATTAATATACATAACTATAAATGGGAGAAAACTTAAAATAGATAAAAGCAAAAATAATAAAAGTAAACGATATAGTGAAATACATGTAATTAGATTTATAATAATTAAAGAAAAAAGTAATATGCTATTAAATTACATGAAAACATTGTTCATAAAATTAAAAACAAAGAAACTTATATATAACAATTAATGGTTAATATTAAAAAAGTTATGGTTTAAGGGGTCAAAAGAGTAGTTTTCATATTCGGCAATGGGGTCAATTTATAAGAATTTAATCAAATATCTATGTATTTGTTTAAATATGCCATAGTATTAGTTTGATTTTGAAAATTCACCGGGGTCAGTTGACCCCCATGTTTCTATGCTACCTCCGCCACTGATCGTTTGTCGAGGTGGAGATTTGTTGATTTTTTCAACCAAGACTCAAGAAGCTTAGAGAGTGAAGCTTTGGTTATGGAGGTTTTATAAGTTAGTGTAAACTTCATTGTTTACTTGAAGCACATGGAAGGCTGTTAGTTTGTTAGAACAGATTCATGGCATTTTTCGTCTTTTGACGATCTCTGTAACTCCTTATCTTATTGGTATATAAAACCAAGGAGCTCAAGCTTTAATGTGTATATATAATCTTGCTACCAAAAGAAAAGATTAAGGGTTAAAAGCGGATTCGTAACTCCTAATGAACCGTGTCAATTTGTTAGTCGAAGATTTTGAATATTTTTTGGATTCAAACTTATTATAAAATCACTATTGACATGAAATCGTATAAATAAAAAGTTATAAATTAGAGATCATGATAATTCGGCAAGTACTTCATAATTTTACTTTATATACTAGGTTATGAATCCCCGCGATATCGCGGGGAACTCATTTTCAACAAATATATTTTATTACGTTTATGTATTAAATTATTATTATAATATATTCAAATAATTGAATTATTATATAAAATTAACAATGTCTTAAAGTTATATCGTAAATATTTTTTTAAAGATATTAAAAAAAATTTATGAATAAAAATGTAAAAAAAAAAATTATGACTAAAAAACACTTTTGAAACATTTTTTGTGAATATAAAATTATTTATAAGTGACAAAATAACTAAAGAAAAGTTATAATATAGAGAGAAAAAATTCTAGCGGGTCAAAACCAAAAAGATATAAAAACACAACCAGAAAAATAACCGTCAACACAAAAAGTAACCGTCAATATTTTAACGAAGAATTGCGATAAAAAGACATAACCAAGAAAAAATAACCGTCGATATTTTAACGGAAAGTTACGATAAAAAACACAACCGAGAAAAAATAACCGTCAATATTTTAACGAAAAGTTATGATAAAAAGACACATCAAAAAAATAACTGTCAACAAAAAATGTAACCGTAAATATTTTAACGAAGAGTTGCGATAAAAAGACACAACCAAGAAAAAATAACAGTCAATATTTAAACGAAAAATTGCTATAAAAAGACATAAACGGAAAAAAATAACCGTCAATATTTTAACGAAGAGTTGCGATAAAAAGACACAACCGAGAAAAATAACTGTTAATATTTTAACGGAAAGTTACGATAGAAAGACACAACCGAGAAAAAGAAACCGTCGATATTTTAACGGAAAGATACGATAAAAAGACAAAAACAAAAAAAAGAAACCGTCAATATTTTAACTGAAAGTTACGATAAAAAGACACAACCGAAAAAATAACCAGCAATGGAAAATTGTAACCGTAAATATTTTAACAAAGAGCTAGGACAAAAAGATACAACCGAGAAAAAATAAGCGTTAATATTTTAACGAAAAGTTGCGATAAAAAGACACAAACGAAAAAAAGTAATGTTAATATTTTAACGGAAAGTTGTGATAAAAAGACACAACCAAAAAAATAAGCGTCAACGAAAAAAAGAACCGTCAATATTTTAACGAAGAGTTGCGATAAAAAGACACAACCGAGAAAAAATAACCGTCAAACTTTTAACGGAAAGTTGTGATAGAAAGACACAAACAAAAAAAATGACCGTCAATATTTTAACGGAAAGTTACGATAAAAAAAACACAACCGAAAAAATAA